TCCGAGGGTTTAGGGTTTAGGGTTTAGGGTTTAGGGTTTCGAGAGAAGCATTCAGAGACGAGGGTTCACAATAGCAACGAAGTGACCACAGCTTAAGGGTTTAGGGTTTAGAGAGTTGGCTAGGGTTTAGGGTTTACCAATTAGGGCTTCGGATTTCGAACTAGGGTTTAGGGTCTAGGGTTTGACTGGTAAACATTAAACGCTCCTGAGATTCACTTGATGAGGGCTTGTGGTTGTGCACTTAATGCTTTAGGGTTTAGGGTTTAGGGTTTAGGGTTTGGGACCTCCTGGAAGTCCTTGAGGTCTATTTGCCCGTCTCTGTTCCGGTCTATTTCCCGCAGCAGCTTTTTGCAATCTCGAGAAGTCACACAAGTGAATTTGTTGCTTTTCAAAAGCTTTTCAATTTCGTTCAACTTTATGCTTTTGTTGCCCTGCGCGTCCGTCGCTGCACGCAAACCCTAAACCCTAAACCCTAAACCCTAAACCCTAAACCCTAAACCCTAGAGCGCAGCCCGACGCCCTAAACCCTAGCGCAGCAGCCGCAGTCACAAAGCCCGCCCTTCGCCCAAGCAGCAAACCCTCGAAACCACCAAACCCTTTCCAGCGCCCAGGTCGTCCTAAACTCTAAACCCTAAACCCTAAACCCTAAACCCTAAACCCTAAACCCTAAACCCTCACTCGCGAATTTCTCAAATTCCAGCTGCACGTCGACGCCGCTGAAACCCTCAAAGCCTTCCTTCAAAATTTCCTTGTCAAGCTGCACCGCCAAACGCAAACCCTAAACCCTAAACCCTAAACCCTAAACCCTAGCGGCCCCTTGCTGCGCTTCTAGCAGCCTCAAGGTAGAGCGCACAGCTAGGGTTTAGGGTTTAGGGTTTTGCGTTTAAGCAAGACCGAAAACGCTCTAGGGTTTCAAAATTAGGGTTTAGGGTTTAGGGCTGGGACTGCAGGAGTTAATGTTTGCAAACACACAAATAAGTGCAGCTTTAAAAGCTCTAGGGTTTAGGGTTTACGGTTTAGGGTTTAGGGTTTTTCTTGCCTCATAAAGAGCCTCAACAAATTCTCCAAAGTCTATCAAGTTGTTCTTGTCCTTGTCATACTCTGTAGATCCAAACCCCAAACCCTAAACCCTAAACCCTAAACCCTAAACCCTAAACCCTAAACCCTAGATCTCAGTCTCCAATCCCTCACAAAGCATGAAGCCCCTTTAGATTCTCGTCTTCAATAATGCACCCGCCCCTGCAGCCTTCGTGAGCGTTTAGGGTTTAGGGTTTAGGGTTTAGGGTTTAGCTGAGATATTTGATTTTCTGCGCAAAATTAGCTGCGCACGCAGTTCCTGCTGCCTGGGACTGCGCGGGCAGTCCTAGGGTTTAGAGTTTAGGGTTTAGGGTTTAGGGTTTGGGGTTTACTTTCGATCTTTTGGATTTTGTCGAGAGAAAATTCTGCTCTTTTCTGTAAATCCGCTCTTGAGATCCTCCCGTCTGCATCTTTATCAAAAAGGTCGAAAACTCGTCGCCACTCGAGCAAATCTGGAAAAAAAAGAAGAAAAAGAACAGAAAATAATAAATAAAACAAAAATATTAATACAATTTGCAAAAAAAACAATTTTAATTCACCAAATACCAAAACTTTTTGCAAAAACGGACTTTGCGCAAAACGCCCGTTTCACGGGGTGTATGTACACCGCAAAACGCCGTTTTCACGGGGTGTATGTACACCCCGCGACACCCCAACAAAACGCCACCAAATTCGATCAAACTGCCTCTCATTTTGAGAAAAAAGAAAAGCGTTTTGCAAATTAATGCAAACAAATGCAAAAAGAATTAAAAAGGATGGCAAATAAATGCATTTTCGCGAAAAATGGAATTCAAGTAAATGCACTTCCGCCAGATCCAGGTGTACGTACACCGCAACAAGGAGTTTGCACACGCGAAAACGGCCGAAATTAAAAGAACAAATAAATCACAAATAGATTAATAAATAAATAAATAAATAAATAAATAAATAAATAAATAAATAAATA